TGAATTCTGTACCTCTAATTCAGGTTCTATTTGAAATAATAAAAAAATGATAGAGCTATAATAAATAATACAATTTATTAAAATTTTAAATTTAATTAAATATGCTAATGCACGGAAAAAAAATTTCTAGTTGTAATCTAAACATCTACGTGCTGATTGCCAAGGAAGTATTGTACAGTTCTAATAATCTAATTGCTGCTGCAAACTCATTTAAGTGATGACTTCCAATATCGAGATTGAAGTTGCAGCCAGAAAAATAACAACAGCCAAAAAAAGCTAGTAAAGAAATCCTCAGATTACGCGGGTTAATGCATAGATGAATCAACGTTGATATCCAGAAAGCAGCAAGCACATTAGAAAGCACCCACTCTAGGGGGGAAAGAAATATCTTTTACCTGTATACTACCTCTGGTCCTAATTATAAGAGCCAGTTGACTAATTTGAAGAGATTAAGAAAGTAAATTGAATTAGTTATTTGTTCTAAATAGGTGTTGTCTTTCCTAAAATATCCTTGCTAATCAAGTGTATTGACTAGAACTATAATTATTAGAAGGACTATCTTGAAAAAAATTGAGTAAATATAAAAGACAAGGTAGATTGGGGTCTTATATTTAGGACCAAAATAAATTTAAATAGGATTTTATATTAAGGACCAGAGGTAGTATTTAATAAAATCATAGGAAGTTAGATGATGTGCAATTAGTGAAAAATTTGGCTTCCATATAATTCTATGCTTTTGTTTTTTTTTTTAATAATTCTTTCTCTTACCTTTCACGCGATACATTAGTCACGCTTCGTTTTAGCATTTTTATAATATTGTTCTTTTTTCTGTTATTTATTTTTCAATTCCTTTTTAAATGACTACTCATATTGTATACGGGAACAAATCTAATTAAAAAAAATGAAAGACCGAGGAGTAAGAATTTCATTTGATATGCAGAATTAGTACTTTTAGATTTCAACATATCAAATCTTCTTGATGTGAAAAATTGAAATTAAACATTATATTGAGGAATGAAAACGAGCCAAACCCAGGGAAGTGTCCTATTTAGAAAACTTGCTGCCTATTTTTTCTAGTTTGGGAACCTGGATCTGGTAATTTATCAACGTGTTTGCGTCATTTATTTTATTTTTGTTCAATCGAAGCAAGATGTTCTAAAATATATTCCTCTTAGCCATATAAAAGGTTATTTTGGTTTTATTTATAAATTTTCTATATGAATATACAATTTTATTCTCCATTTATTATTATGTGGAATTATCATATTGTATATTAAATAAAAAAAACTAACTACAAGAAATCTTTGTTCGAATGTACCATTGCTTATAATGAAATTTTTATTTTTGATGACTCGTACATATAAAACCACCTTTCATCGTTGCTTAAAACCGATTAAGATGAGCACCTGCAGTTCATTCCTTTTGGACTGTCTAGATAAAATTTAAATTGTTCAGATTTAATATTTTTAATTAATTATTTTTAAATAACAAAAATCAATTTTTAAAAAATGGTAATTAAAATATTATTTTTATTTTAGATTTTATGCCCATTAAAATGATTATTCAAAAAAAAATTTGGACCACCTAAATCAAATCTGGATGGTTCAGATATTAGTTCCTCCTTTCTCTTGATATTTTCAATGATTTGTTTCACACCTTTTATCAATTAAATGAATGCACTGTTTTTTTCAGAGGCTGTTTGGTATGAGGGATTTGCAAGAAAAGGGAAAAGAGAAAAAAATTAAAAAAAATCAAATTAAAAAAGTGAGGTTTAAAGTTTTTAATTAATGTTTGACCAAAAAAAAAAAGTTTTTAATTAATGGTACCTAGCCAATGGTAACTACCTTTGACATTGTTTTATTTATAATAAAATGACCATCCAAATTGATATGCTTGGTTTCAGCATAAAACACTCGATTGCGTGTTAAAACTCGGACGTTTGCATCATGGACTTTGACACCAAGTGAAAGTTTAGGTGTAATAAACTTTGATACCATTATTTCATTTTAATTCTTTTTACCATCAAATAGAGCTCTCACACCCTTCTACGACTACGACTCCATTTTGCTACGTCGCAGCATATGAATTTAAAAGAAAATATTTCATGCCAATTCAATTTTAACCATTCAATATTCCAATATTTAAATAAAAAATTAAAATAAAATAATATAAATGATAAATATTGTCAATAAAAAATTTGAACGGCCAAACGAAGGAAACAAGATACGTTATAAATTTCAGAGGGAAAAAAAGGACAAGACAGGCTAGTTCAAGCAGAAAACCAACGAAATGGCCTGGTTCAGTTTAATTTAGTGTGTAAACTGGCCTTTCAATCAGCTCGTAATAACTTGAGATAAACCAGTTATAATAATAATAATAAAAAATCAGGCAACTTGCTAGATTAGGCGGGTTGACGGTTGTTTTCTTAACTTCTTTCTTGCCCTTATTGTTGGCTGGAGAAGCCTGTGCTCTGCCTCTGCTCATGGAAGACTAAAGACGGAAGGAAAGGAGGAAGATAATAGAGAGAAAGAAAGAAGGATGAAGCGTGGAGGGAGGACAATGAGAAGGAAAGAGAAATGGGAAGGAGAAAATGAGGTCTTGTGAATTATGACGTGTGTTCAGGGAAAAAATTAAATGAGAAGAGATCAATTGTGTTAGTGTTAAAAGAGGAAAGAGGAAAAAAAACTGATGGAAATGATGGAATGGGAGTGCTCACGTAGGAGAAAGAAGAAAGAGGAAGAGAGCAGAAAGAGGAAAACAATAAAAAAAAAAGGAAAATTTTATTGGATAAAAAAAATTCATATGCATAAATATTTTCTAGGTGAGTGTTCATTAAAAACTATGTATTCTTTTGATAATTAAAATATGAATGTTTTTATACATTTTAATTATTACCAGTTTGATCCTAAGTTGAATTCAATCTAACCCATTAACTCTTAAACTAGTATTTCATCTAGTTCACTAACCGGTCCCCTTTTTTGAGCTTTGATAAATTCAAGATATAAATAAAATAAAAAATATTTAAAATAAAGGAAATGCTGGCATAAAATCACTAAACTCTTCTTATTACTTCCAGACTTTGTAGGATAGCATCTTTAAGCCTAGCAACTTGATAACCACCCCAAATGGCACAAAGCACGTCCCTGCAGTGGAACTGGTGGCTTTGAAGGTGGGAAGGATTTCTAAGAAAAAAAGGTTAATATAAATTTTAGCTCCTTAAATCTGAGTCGATTTTGATATTAGTCCATAAAATTTTAAATGCAAGGTCTTGGTCTTTAGAATTGTGTTCGTTTCAAACTGTTGGTCCTTAGGAGCTTCACATTGTTAATTTTATCTGAGATGGTTTAACACTGTTAAATTAATGATGTTATGCGTACACAGAAGTTGGCACATATGTTGATCTTAGCTAGAAGAAAGCAAAAATGGATTTTTTTAAAAGGCAACAAAGATCCGCCATGAAGCACGCACGAGTTGATTGATAATCCTAGTTCATTATATACATAAGTTACAAATTGATCTAATAGACCGCTTTTATGTATAAAAATTGTAAAGGCATCCAAACACACCATCCTATTGCAACGCATCAAAAGACCTCACTTCCTCAAAAGCTATCGTCTCTACAACCGTCGTTTAGCCGCCGATCGAGATGTCTACCTGTACAGGTATATAGATCGATCCATATACGAGTGTCTTCTTTAATTTCTTTTCTGTTTCATTTCTGTAATGATATAAAAATTATTATAGAGGGGACATAACGTTCTGCAATTTAGAGTAGAAGGAGGAGCAAATAAAGCAAGACGAGAGAAAAGATAAGTGGAATGAGAACAAGGTCACCTCCAAGAAACAGCGAGACCCTCTTCTCTTCCATTATCTTCCCATCCATTTAAATGGCTACTTAATTTTAAAGATATCCATCCACCATTATATATCTGCCTCTGATTTGTGTAATTATTTCACTTAATATGAAGTTAGTACCCTCCAAATTACCATAACAATTGGGTTATCTTTCTCTCAATCCTCACTATCATCGTCTCTACTGAGGCAATCGACTATGTGTTTCTTCTCTTTTGATTCGTGTTAAGCAAACCAAATTACTTCATTATGCCAAAAAACAGAGCAAAAGAGTAAACAAAGCAATTTGAAACAAACATAATTCTAGGACCAAAACTTTGCAGTTGAAATTTGAGGGATCAGTACTAAAGTGGACTCAAATTTAAAGGACAAAAATTTGCATTGACTAAAAAATAATTATAGGCGATTTTAAAACCAAATAAATTCAATATTTTCTGAGCTTCTCCTCGAGATACTAGATTAGAGAAGGGAAATGAGAGGTCATGGATGCCTAACCAAGCATTCAACAATCAAAGAATGAAAAAAGAATGACAAAGCATTCAATTTCAAAAAAAAAGAAAAAAAAAAGAAAAAGACGGGATAAAAAAAAAGGAGAAAACATAAATTATTTATTTTTTAAGATACTAGTATATGGTACTCCTCCGTCTTTGATATAAAACCTATTTAACTAATTTGATTAGATTAAAAAGGTTAGGTAAATTAGTTAATGATAAGAAATATGACATATTTTTCCTAAAACACCAAAATCATTTTTCTTAATACCTTCCCTACCTCTTCTACTTGATTATGGTTGAGAGAGTATCTATAAAAATAATTTAGAAAAAAGTGATAAATATGATAAATAAGTCTTATATTTAAGACTAAAATCAATTGAAAAATTAGATGCTATATTAAAGACTAGAAGAGTATTATATAGAGTATTTATTAACCAAAGACAGACTGTAATAGGTTAGTAGTGAGAAGAAAAAGACGTCATAATAAACAAACAACCACATACGAGATGAACCTCGTGGCCCGATAACAACACGGTGTCGTAATTGTGAGCCCGCAAGTCCACCGTTGATGGTGCTCCATCCGCTTTTCTGTTTGCTGGACCCCGCATCGCCCAAATCAGAGTCACCACCAACCCCTTCCCAACGGTGAGTGGTGACCACCTTAACCAATATACCGCTCTTTTGAGGCCAAGGGTATTGGGGTAGCGAGTGGAAGAAGGAATGACCATGGCGCTTCGCAGACTATCCTCCACCATCAAGAGACCAAGTCTAGCTTTTACTAATGGCGGTTCTGTTTATTACATGGTGACGTGAAATTTTCAATCCCTTTAGATCTACTCCCCACTCGTGATCATCTCCATCACTGAATTCGTTTCCTTTGCTTCCCTTTCATATCCCAATAATCTCTTATGTATTGTTTGGTTACAGTCTTCTTTCCAAAATGCAGCAGCACAAGAAAAAGAAAAAGCTCGTGCAGCCGTAAGCCATTTGTCTCATTTCGTGTGTTCCCGCTCCAGGGAATGATTTTTTTTTTTTTATGTGTATTTCATCTTGATCTTGGGTAACCGAGGGAACGTACCGCAGTGGATAAAGCAGCTCAATGATCCTATTGAAGTTGTGGATCCGGAAGTCACAGACGTAATTGAACTCGAAAAAGCTCGCCAATGGAAGGCATGTAAAACTTAACTTTCTCCCTTTTCTATCCATGTGATGTAACTGAGTGATGATGGATCGGAGCTTGGTTTACAATGGTTTTGTAATTTTTGAGTTAAGGCTCTATGAAATAATCAAACGAAAAACTATATTTTCCTATACTGTCGAATTGGAAAGCTTAGTTCCTTTGAATTTATGTTTGTTTATGGCTTTGAGTATATAGGGATTCGAACTCATACCTTCAGAAAACTTCACGTCATTGTCGGTGATGCAAGCTGTTGGATCGGTCATGACTAATAAATACAGCGAAGGGTATCCCGGTGCCAGATACTATGGAGGAAATGAGTGCGTGCTTCTGCTTATCGATGATCTTCCAAAACATGCGATTTGTAATTTTAAGAAATTCATAGATTGGTATATTGACTTCTAACATATACATTCAGGTATATTGACATGGCAGAATCCTTGTGTCAGAAGCGTGCATTAGGAGCTTTTGGGCTAGATCCCGCGAAATGGGGAGGTACATTCGTCCATGCACATTTAGGGTGCAGTTTGGGTTCTTGCTATTCAGCAGAATGCTATTCTATGTGACAAGGCGTTATCCCAAAGAAATATGACCTATCAATAGATTAATTGCTAGTTTTTTATTCAGAGTCGCATGCAAGTATTATTATTTATTTTAACTACTTGCCTGCGAAAGAGTTTCTCAGTACTTATTGGAGATGAAGGTGTTTAGTGCTTTTATTTTGCTCCTGTCATCCTGGTACCTGAGTCACAAGCACTTATAAAATTATCTCAGTCAAAGGGTATTTCTCGATCAAGCAAGCCATGTACTACATGGTGGTGATTTCTTGAGTATTTCTTTTTCTGGTCAAAAGAAAGTAATTATTCTGCTGTTAACCACGCAAGCTGCAAATGATATTACCTTTTGTATATAGTTTGAACATCTGAAGTACACAACTCATTAGTTTATCTTCGAAGGCTGGAAAGGCTGAATTCTTTTCTTCTTTTCTCTACTCATGAAAAAAAGTAGTATATTCATTCTTCTCCTGATGAACATAGAATTTTGGTCTTTGGGACTAACGTTTATGTCCTTCTCTTCCTAGTAAAATGGTTGTGGAGAAGAATATGTTTTCAAATTCCACCTGCTGATTGTTAGTTTTGAATTGTTGCAGTTGGTCTTTACTAATTTTGCTTTTTCAAATTTGTGTCCGGTATCATGTGAGAATCCTTGTGAAGTTTGTAATTTATGGGATTTTCTCAAGACATTTCTGATTCTATGCAGACACATTTCATGTACGTTACATTACTAGGTCAGTCTTACGTTTTCTTGGAGGTCTTATGTACTTTGTTAACAGTCAATGTGCAGTCATTGTCCGGATCCCCTGCTAATTTCCAAGTTTACACTGCATTATTGAAACCTCACGAGAGAATCATGGCTCTTGATCTTCCCCATGGTGGACATCTGTCTCATGGCTATCAGGTAATAATACTGATTTTCATTATCAGTTATTTTATTGCACCAATTTATGAGCAACTTAGCAACAAGTTTTGAAAGAACAGTGTAGACCTTTACATGCAAAGCTTGAGAAAGAAAATCATGTGCTTATATTTGGCATATGGATTCACCTCAATTAGAAGTAACTTTCTGAAATTTTTCTTCGCTCCTTATATTAGGCACAGGCAAGGAAGAACTTGTATTTTCAGTCTTCTCCAAATTACCCTTTCATGAGAGAACATTTTATGATCTCTGTATAACCAAATCATTCCACCATTCAATCTGAGCCTTGCTAAAATTTTCCTCACTGATTATCTGAATGCTGAACTATCACATTTGGTATTGCCTGTTCTCCAGAGCACAGTGCAACTATCCTACAGTATAATGGCATTCCTAATGCTTTGATAGAATACTTGTGTTTGTATGTGCTGCGTTGATGTCCAGATTCCTCTGTTTCTTTCTGCTTCTGATGTTTGTGTTTTGAAATTTTAGCGATGTATTATACTTATATATGCCTAATGATTTATTTCTGCCTTGCAGACTGACACCAAGAAGATATCAGCTGTATCAGTATTCTTTGAAACAATGCCATACAGATTAGATGAGAGCACTGGCTATATTGATTATGACCAGGTTTAATGGCTCTCGTTTACTGTGGATATTATCATTTAATTAAGAGAGAACTTTCTCCACACTGCGGCTATCTAGTTACTGTTACTGCTATCTTTGCCACTGAGCTGCCCTTTCTGATTTGATATTTAATAATTAATCATTGAACTGTAGGTTGTATAGTTGGTCTAGTTTAATTTCTTTTTATGGTATAAAATTCACGAGGCTTCAATTTCAACTTTTCTCTTTTAATGAATTTTAAATGTTAATTCTTATCAGATGAAAATAGTTTCAATGTGTTGTAATGAACCTCATTATGTATCCCCATGCCAATGTATACTTGCTCAGATCTTTGATGAAACACCTACTTGCTCAGCTATGACTCTGACTCAAATTATTTTGACCTCTCAGTGGCTCAGTGCCCATGGCAATGCATCCATTATTCTTTCTATTCTAAATCATTGCATTAAATTGGGAAAAGAGTTTTGTTTTACAGAGGTTCTACTCTTCCATGCATACTGTTCTCTTATTCTTGTAAGTAATGATTTGAAATGTTTACTACCTTCAGATGGAGAAAAGTGCTGCACTTTTTAGGCCAAAACTAATAGTTGCTGGTGCTAGTGCTTATGCTCGCCTTTATGACTATGCACGTGTACGCAAGGTAATTATATATCTGTAGCACTTTTGCTCTTCAGGAAAGATCTTTAGATATTTTCATGCTTAACAAAGATTAAATGATGGTTTCATGCTTGAGTTTATATAGGTCTGCGACAAGCAGAAGGCTGTTATGTTGGCTGATATTGCACACATCAGCGGATTGGTTGCTGCTGGTGTTATTCCTTCTCCTTTTGATTACGCAGATGTTGTGACAACCACAACACACAAATCACTTCGTGGACCACGTGGAGCTATGATCTTCTTCAGGAAAGGTGTGAAGGAGATAAACAAGCAAGGACAAGAAGTGAGTCTCAAAAGCTAAATTTAATGTTAAAATTAGATCAAAGGGAATTAAACAGAATATATGAGGGCTACTCTGTTTGCAGTAGCTGCTAACCCTCTCAGGCTATGTTCGTTTTAAATGCTGTTTGCAAGTCATTTCTCCGTCTCTTTAGATTATTTCGAAGTTGCATGACGTAGCAAATTCTTAACTGATCGATTTCCTTTCTCTTCAGGTGTTATATGACTTCGAAGACAGGATAAATCAGGCTGTTTTTCCTGGACTTCAGGGTGGTCCACATAATCACACAATTACAGCCTTGGCAGTTGCACTGAAGCAGGTTTTTTAATTGCTAGCCAAGGAAACACTAGTATCATTATGTAGTCGTCCCTTATATTTTGCATGGAAGCATAACGATCATTTTTGCCCCATTTTTATTTTTTTTTATACCTATGGATACGATTTGTAGTGTTTTGTTTTGTTTTTGTTTTTGAATTGCCAGGCTCACTGCGAAATTCTTTTTCTTTAAATTTAGGCTATGACACCAGAATTCAAGGATTACCAAAAGCAAGTTCTTAGTAATTGCTCAAAATTTGCACAGGTAAAGCGAGCACCATTTTTAATATGCTGGCCAGTGCTTCATAAAGCCATCACAATGAGTCAATACCCATTAGCTGTCTATTCTAATTTGTATGGTCTGACATTTAACTGTTATGGTCGCCTCTCTGGTGTTGATTGAACCCCAGACTTTGACGGAGAAAGGATATGATCTAGTATCTGGCGGAACGGATAATCATTTAGTGTTGGTTAACTTGAGAAACAAGGTAAATGGGGTGATTCCTTCCTCTGGCAATTTCTTGCTCATATTTCCATCTGAAAGGATTCGTGATAAAGTACTCATTTGTAAATTCATGTGAACAAACCAGTCCAGAACAGCCTGCCTACCGCTGGTTTCAAATTATATTGATTACTGATCACATGCAGTGATTGGTGACTGGTTACTATGGCCAAATGCTACAGATGAATTCTGCTGAGTAGAGCGTATCCCTGAGACTTAAAGGAACTGTGTGAGATACACATAATTTTACCTTCAAACAAAGGAAGACTTCCCTAATGTTTGTGAACTTGACATGATCCTACTATTGATTATTTTGCGTGGTCAGATAAGGTTGCTACACGCATGCAATAAACCTATGCTGGAATTTATTAACAAGTTAACTATAAAAATATGCCAACATATTTATAATGTTTGGTAGGTATTATTTATGTTTTGGTTAAATTACTCTTTTAGTCAACGAAATTTAATGGAACACTGGTAGATTAAATTTTTAGAAGTGTAAGAGCTTAATTAAAAATTTTAAATTGTAAGGACTAAATTAAAACTTGAGGGGAGTTACATTGATCAGATGAATTTGTTTAACCTTGTAACTTTATATTGTATTGTTTGACAGGGCATTGATGGCTCAAGGGTTGAGAAGGTGCTAGAATCAGTTCATATCGCAGCTAATAAAAATACCGTTCCAGGGGATGTGTCTGCCATGGTTCCTGGGGGCATTCGTATGGGTACAGTCTCTCTCCCTCCCCGTCATCTTTTTTTGTTTTTCCCCTTGTCATTGTTACTGTTGGTTCTTTAATTACATGTTGAAAATGTCGTCATCTGGTGATGCTCCAGGTACCCCAGCTCTCACATCCAGGGGGTTTGTTGAGGAAGATTTTGTAAAAGTAGCCGAATATTTTGATGCCGCAGTCAAGTTGGCCTTGAAGGTCAAGGCTAATGTAAAAGGTTCCGTTACCTTCTACCTCGCCTTCTTTCACTTTGGTTGTATTATTGTTAGCTCATTCGTTATTGGTTTCTGTAAGTTCAGGAACAAAGTTGAAGGATTTCGTGGCAACGATGCAATCAGATGCTCAAATTCAATCTGAGATTGCTGATCTCCGCCGTCAAGTAGAGGACTACGCCAAACAGTTCCCGACAATTGGTTTCGAGAAAGAGACGATGAAGTACGGCGAGTGAAAATGGCACATCACATGGGTTGGCGTGTGCTTTCATTCTCCTGGGTTACTTGCCCGGCCAAATGTTGGGCATTTTTTGTGATTTATGATGAAATAATGTCTAATTTTGATTTGTTGATTCTGTTTTTTTCCCCTCAAACCTTTACAAGAATGGGATAAAAGGATCATTTCACACGACAATGAATCCGTTGAAATTATTGATCATTCCTCCCATTTCAAAATGATTGTCTATTTACACGTTAAGAAGTTTATTAGATAAATATTATAGTTCTATCGGAGATCACTGAAGACTCCCATTTTCAGTTACGTTTGATGTGAGTCATTAATGTAGAATGAGAAATATTTATGCCATAAAAATATGTGAAGAATTTATTCTCCTTGAATTTCACAGGTACCTATTTGGTAAGCAATATTAATTTCATATGAATTTATAAATTTAATGCCCCCGGCAGAGTAAGGATCAATCAATCAATGAAACAATATTTCTATCTGAGAACTTGATATAATACTCGCATTGTAAGATGGAAGTAGAACTATTAAACTGTATGATGGAAGTAGAACTACTAAACTGATGTTACAGGTAAAAAGAGAAAGCCAACTGCACAAACATATATACTGACAAATCATATATATTCTTCGTCGTGATATGTAATTCCTTTTTCTATCTTTCGAAGATGTTCCCCGAAGAGATTTTCCTTCTTTCCTTTTTTCAACAAGAGCAGACGTAAGAGGTGAAGAAACTAACGTTTCTTGCTTTTAGTCTTGGACATCTTTGATTTGCATGCTTCAAGAGGCGGTTTCCATATTATATCCTCAAGATTGCTGCAAAATGTCTTGTAAAACTGCTAAATAGAGAAAGGAAAACTATCATCAATTATGAACCAAAAACAAAAATGGTGGGGCCAATCTAACAACAAAAGGATTTCTTAGAAACTGACCTTGAGGTATTCACTCCCATCTCCAGAGGTTCTTTGAATGTCCACCATTAGAAAAGTGGGAGCAACTTCAAAAATCTTTATTATCGCCAAGAAGGGGGCCATGTGAAGAAATAAATTGTCATTTAAATGTGAAGAGGCAGTTGAAAGTCAAAAAGAGGCCTGGGAACTTACTTCCAGTATCACCGAAAAATAAGAAGTCCTGTCTGCTGAAATACCCTCCACTCTCATCTGAAAATTTATACCAACAGTTTAAATGGGGAGAACTTTAGGTAGAGTTAACCTCTACTGAATATTAAGATCAGATTCCGCTGATTTACGTTGACCATCAATGGAAATAACTAAAAGTGAATTAGTCACATCAAAGAATCCAAAGCAACAGAAGCGGAGGTATTATGTAAATTACGGCATCCTAACCTTATAGTTGCGAATATGAGTCTTAAATCCCATTGATTGTGCCACAACTTCCATACTCGATAAAACCACCTTTGCTGGCTTTTGAGTGATAAAGCGTGCTTGGTAGTACATAGAGTCCTGTAAGGATGTTACAGAATAAAAGCGGTGTTACGACCGTGCTTGAGAAAAAAATCAAAACTCAATACCCGAACTTAAAACCACAGTAAGTAGGGGCTAAAATTATACTCCTTCGGTCCTTATTATAGGACCCAATTTGACTTTTTATTTGGTCCTAATTATAAGACCCAATCCATTTTCTCTCTTATATTTATGCATTTTTTTCCAAGATAATCCTTCTAATAATGATAGTTTTAGCCAATATACTTAATTAGTAAGGATATTTTAGGAATAACAACACTTATTATTATAAATAACCAACTTAACTTACTTCCTTAATCTCCTCAAATAAGTCAATTGGGTCTTATAATTAGGACCGGAGGAGTATTTATACATATCAGCATGCACACATCTTGTTAAATATTACAAGCTAAAATCCTGCCTGCAAAGTTCCCTTAGGACATCGTATGACTGTTTTCTCAATACTTGTGCGTATAATTATTGAGCCAGTACATGGCAAATATAAAGAAAATGTCAAAATTAAATACCTCTCGACGATCGAATAGTGATGCCAGGTTTAAGCCTTGAGACAGGATTATCAAGTCAAATGCATTGAGCATCAAAGGACCCGTGTCTTCGTTTTCACTCTGTTGATTAGCCGCCTGATCCTTCGACGACAAAATAACCATTGTCAGATATGAGTAAATAAGAATGCGTGCATTCGTGTTATGATCCAAAATACGTTACATTTTGTAAATATAAAGCTGCGTGGATAAGTTCAGTCTAGGAGGATTAGCTTTGAGAAGACAAGGGGGAAGGGGGAGGGGAGAAACAATTTTGAAATGGACAAAATGCAGAATTAACGCATTATACAAACCTCAGCATCGTCAAAAGCTGCATTTACGTCATCCAAATTTACTTCTTCATGCTCAAGTAGACTTACAGGAACGTAGCCTTTTTTAAACCACTCATCATTTCGTATCTGCTCAATAGTTATGCGCTGTGTATATACACATGCACGCGCAGATGAAGCAATAGAGAAGAGAATTGTCAGAGACAACCAGAACCAAGATGGATGGAATAAGGATATATCTATAATTTACTAATACGTTATTTGGAAGCTAGAACATTCTATACAGAAGTTACCGTAAAAAATACAACTACGAGAATAATAGAACATTATAAGACTTAATATGCTCATCCGATACTTACAGTCTGAGGATTGGGGTCCAAAATTCTATGTATTAAAGATTTTGCTCCCACTGAAAACCAGGCTGGGTATGAAAACTCTGCTCTACCAATCTGCACAAAAGGATCAGGTAAAAAGTCAACAGCATCATAAGCAGAATCCAAAATTCTCCTTGAAAAATGCAGGAGGCGACTGACATTTTTTATTTCCCCTTTCACACCCGAAATCTGAGTGACTCAATACTGTTTCGCAGAAGTAAATAGACAGACAGGATCCGCAACACCAACATTTATCAAATATCATTTTGCTGATAATTGGTCTATGTTCCTGAGATTGAAGTATAAATTTGAATCACCAAAGAAAAATCCTTGACATCTTTACAAACAGGCACTCCACTGACCTACAAAGAAAAATGTATACTGGAAATGTTTGAATCCATGCCTTACTGTATAACATAGTAAGATCAAGTTCATCAAAGGGAAGATATCCAGCCAACAGAACATAAAGGATAACCCCACAGGACCAAACGTCTGCCATAGCCCCATTGTAACCCTTGTGACTCAGTACCTGAGGCCAAAAATGTAATGCCAAGTGGAGAAGCCAGCATCCAAATAATTAGTTTCTTCAGTAGACATAAAAGTCAAATCTAATTCATTAGTTTCCTGCCCTTATATTTACCTCAGGAGCTACGTAGTTTGGTGTCCCACAAGTTGTCCGAAGGATACTAACCCCCTGTGAATTTTTACCAGGCGTCAAGTCATCCAATATAATTTTGTCCGCATAAGTTAAAGTCAAATTTAAATCCACTGGGTAACAATCTCACCTGTTCTGGTAATGCACTCAAACCAAAATCTGAAATCTTTATATTTCCTTGGGAATCAAGTAAGAGATTTTCGGGCTACAGAAGGGAATTACATCAAACAATTAAAATACTATCATGAATAAGGAAAACGACAAACTTCCAGATCCGAATGCTTGCAAACCTTTAAATCTCTATGGTAAACTCCCTTGCTGTGGCAGAAGTCTACACCATCAATAAGCTGTTGGAAGAATCTTCTTGATTCAGCTTCACTAATACGCCTATGGTGTACCTGCACATAAATTTTATTTTAATAATCATTATTTCCAATATCTTGAACAAGTCAGAAGAAAGTTAGAGTAGAGGGCCAGGGGCTACATAAAACAGGATTGTCTGAGCTACTCACTATTTTATCAAATAATTCGCCACCTGTAATGAACTCCAATATGATATAGATCTTAGTGCGGCTTGCTAGAACCTGAAAATAACATTTCACGAGAAAAGGATATATTGGACCTGTTAGGTCATGAAAATAGCCAGACGAACCTTTTATGACCTTGATGAATAAAGAAAAAGGGGAAAGGAAGAAAGGCGGGTCTGAGATCCAGAAAATATCACGTGCCTCGTGGAGACGGACGACATACGGATGTCTAACTAGCTTCATAATAGAAATCTCCCTCTTGATCTGTATTATATAGGAGTGTTACACATAATTTTGAGGGCAGAAACTATAACGATCACCACAAAATCGTGAATTCATCATGAAATTTCAAGTAGCTTGAAGTGAATTGGAACGTCAATGCAGTAAAAAGTGTTAACCATGGTCAAAATAACAGAGATTAAGAAGTCAATTTTCTTATTTTATCGGATTGCAATAGACCTTTGGATACATCACATAACTGATAACTTCCATATGCCCCAATCATTTCAGTTCAAGTAGTCATTTTACCGCCAGAGCACTATGTCCTTAGATTAGAACTAATTTTTCACCTAATTATCAAGAAACTTGCAAGACAAGTGCAAGCTATGGCAGCTGACGAATTCGACCCAGAAGATTTAGCAAATGACAATAATAATAAAATAATTGAAAATTGAAAGGCAATTCCGAGTATTATTGGAACTTGAAAACCGTCTTCTCGAATACTTCGAGTAAACTCTCGGTTTTGAGGTAATCAAGGAATGGACAGCCCTTTCCTTCAGATAACATTGTTTGTTCCGCCCATAGTTTATACATTTCTTCTACCAGAACAATGAATTGAACAAGTCTATGCACATATAGAGAGATCTAATCATCCAAGGAAAACAGATTGTCAAAAGTAGCTGAAACTGGAGAATTCACACTACGTACCTGGTCCACCATTTTGTGCTTGATGATGGTGCTGCGATCGAGCACTTTCATGGCGACACTCTCCCCGGTCTCTGTGTTCTGCGCAAACTTTACTTTGGCAAAGGTGCCCTCCCCAATCGTCCTCCCAATCTCATACTTCCCCACTTTCCTCACCACCATGGCTCTCTCTCTCTCTCTCTCCGCGTTTCTCTCACCGCAGAAATCTCAGTTCAGGCATTGCAACAGCTCGCAACGGCCAGAGCTCCTGAGATGATATCACTAGTGTTGTTGATGAGTTTCTCGGCCAGAACCTCAAACTTTACCAAACCAACAAACTTCTCGCTTTTCAAACTATTTAATTAATTTAAGTTGAGTGTTGGTGAGGAATACAGATGGGAGCATTTGGAGGGCCAAAAAAAAGAACGGAGGCCACGTTGACAGACGAAATCGCCAAAGATGTTTGGTAGCTCATAGGATCAACGATAAAGAAAAATATATTCTTAGAAAATATCAAAAAGATGCCCCGGAAAAGGATTCCTAGCAGAAGATTTTCCCGGTCAGGAATCTAAGAAAGCCAATAGAGGGGAAAAAAATGAAAACAAAAAAGCTTGGGAAATGCAAGGAACAATGTCTGAAAATTGACAATTCGGAACCTTCGAGTGGAGAATCATTTGCTTGAAGTTGAAGTGGGAAAGGCAGTAAAGTTGCGGGGGTGGGTGAGAAAGGAATATAGAGAAGAAGTCGGTAAAAGCGAGGCCTTCACTGCTTGTGTATATATCATATCTTTCGGCATTTTATGTACACTCAACCGTGATGGAGACAGGAAGGTCCGACGAAGCAGAGGAATGCGACAGTGCTGACATGGATGCAACTGATTGGTGAGGCGGCAGGGCGTTCCTGCCTTTGGGAATCATCTGCGCTGCCGTACGAACAGCTAGCCTCATTCTTTTGACGTGTTCAGCCAGCTTCCCCAATCAAGGACGAAAGCACCCCAAGAAAGTATATAACTGCTCCGGTGCAGTAAATATATATATATATATATATATAATTATAAATATAATATATTTTTTTAAAACATTTTAATAATCTTTCTTAAATAATATGCTAGTAGATTAATGATATTAGTTAAATTATTAAATATAATATTTTTTAAATATAATAGGATTAATTTTAAAAAACTGATAAACATGTGAAATGTGTCTTGTATATAAGATTAACATCAATTCTCAAGTTAGGTCCTATTTTAAAAACAGAAAAAAGTAATGTAGAATAATTCCAGAACATAAAATATTTGGCATAACACCAACTTTTTTTTATAAAAAATTGAAAGCACACTGATAAAACAAACTAAAGAATAACTCCCAATGGATAAGATGGTTCTAAAAGCTTTTCAATTCCATGACATAATTAAAAATTAAAAAACAACTCATGAGTCTCAACTAAAAACAATTAAATTTAATATAAATAAATTCCTTGAATTTTATTTGATACTAATAGGTCCCAAAATATTTCATATTTTATAAGTCAGATTTGTAAAATTTAAATCCCTTGACACCTAGAAGAACTAAATATAATTCGGAGAACTTATTTGTATTTAATTTTGTTATCTGTAACTTATGAGTAATTTTTGCTAAAGAATGTTTTAATGGGTAGTTACAAGCTAATCCTCAATAAATTTTAATGCATTGACAGCTGATTTGGCTTCTTTTTATATCAATGTCTATAAATTATTTGCAAATCAAACTAAAATAATATTCTTTAATTTAAACTTATATTTAAAAATAAAATATCACTTGTTCTTGTAAAAGAAAAAACAAGCACATATAGATATGCCAAAAATCAGTTATTTGAGAGTAAAATTTGAACGCAGGCAGATATTGTGATTTTTTTTTTTTGTGGTCACATGATACATGCCCACTGCTCGTACCGACTCGACGAAATTTGCTGATGTTATCACTAGAGCGTTGTTGATGAGTTTCTCGTGTTTCCTTAACACGAGCACAACCTGCGTTTCTTTTTCTTGTTTTTTTTCCCCCCCAAAAAAAAAGGTGACACTCGCATGTTGCGTCTCTGTTGAGGGTTGACCCCGGGGGTGGGGCTCAATGATGACGGTTAGTTGTGTCGGGCGGGAGGTCCGCTCCCCAGTCACTTTTTCTTTTTCGGGTAATTATAGTTCTCGCCCACTTTATTTTTAGGGGAAATTTCATTTAAAGACCGCAGAAGGGAATTTATATCAGTCAACCCCAAAACATTATAAAATATCACTACAGGACCAAGGGAACAAATTGAAATTAAAAATAAGAGTAAGATTATAATAATACTCCTCACTTTTATTTTTTTAAAAAATAAATATTAATGGACGTAACTGTTCCGGCTACTAGAGCTACAGTAATTGCCACCAAAGGTCTAACCTCTGGCAGTAGCTGAACCTCCGGTAGCCGTTGATGTAGCTCTGGTGGCTGAAATTTTTTTTTTAAATAAGGTGGCCAAAGGAAGGTTTGAACCCATGACCCATTGGCTCACCAAAAGTATGTAACCACCAAGCTAAGCAAACCATTCAATTATCTAATACAAATAAAAATATATATAACAAACAAAAACAACTGTTCAAGTATAAATAACAAGTGAAATTCAGCAATTTACAATAAAAATTAGACAATTTACAAATAATATAATAAAATTCACAACTCCAAATGCAAATGTTTAAGTATATATGAGCAAATGAAATTTAAAGATTTACAACAAAATTTTATGGGTTTACAACCCAAATTTGGCTATTCACAAGAAATACAAGAGAATTAACAACCTGCAATGTAAGTGTTTGAGTGTAAGTGAACAATTGAAATTAAACAATTTACAAGTGAAATTCAGCAATTTACAACAAAAATTAGGTAATTTACAAATAACATAATAAAATTTACAACCCCAAATGCAAGTGTTTAAGTGTAAATGAGCAAGTAAAATTTGAAAATTTACAACAAAATTTTATGAATTTACAACCCAAATTTGGCTATTCACAAGAAACACAAGAAAATTCACAACAAAAATGTAAGTGTTTGAGTGTAAACGAACAAGTGAAATTCAGTGATTTACAACAAAAATTTGATAATTTACAAATAACATAATGGAATTCACAATCCCAAATGCAAGTATTTTAGTGTAAATGAGCAAGTGAAATTTGAAGATTTACAACAAAAGTTTATGAATTTACAAGTGAAATTCAACGATTTATAAGTAAAATTCAGCAATCTACAACAAAAATTAAGCAATTTACAAATAACATAATGGAATTCACAACCCCAAATGCAAGTGTTTAAGTATAAATGAGCAAGTGAAATTGTCAAATTTTACTTGTAAATCTATAAATTTTTGTTGTAAATTTTCAAATTTCACTTGCTCGTTTACACTCAAACACTTACATTTTTTGTTGTGAATTTTCCTGTGTTTCTTGTGAATAGCCAAATTTGGGTTGTAAATCCATAAACTTTTGTTGTAAATTTTCAAATTTCACTTGTTCGTTTACACTTAAACACTTGCATTTGGGGTTGTGAATTTTATTATATTATTTGTAAATTGTCTAATTTTTGTTGTAAATTGCTGAATTTCATTTGTAAATTGTCTGATTTCAATTGTTCACTTACACTCAAATACTTACATTTTGGGCTATGAATTCTCTTGTATTTCTTGTGAATAGCCAAATTTAAGTTGTAAATTCATAAACTTGTATTATAAATCTTCAAATTTCACTTGTTCGTTTACACTTAAACACTTGCATTTGGGGTTGTAAATTTTATTATGTTATTTGTAAATTGCCTAATTTTAAATTGCTGAATTTTACTGTAAACTTTCACCGCTGTCTCCGGTGGCCGTTACTGTAGCTTCGGTTGCCGTTCAATTAATATTTATTTTTTTGAAAAATAAAAGTAGGGGTAATTGTAATCTTATTCCCCTTTTGCGATCCTTGAATGAATTTTTTCCTTATTTTTGCATATCAATGATCGATTGACTGGGGGAATTAATATCTATGGTGCCATTCAATATAATTAAGGTTTAGGTGCATTGGACTTCCATGCATCACTCTTGCACTTTCGAAGGAGTGGATGTGGATATAGAACAGGGGTAATATATTAACTTTGGAATAATTAAGTTTGAAACATGATAAACTTGCGAGACAATAATTAAAAGGGAAAACCATATTGGAGGTACCTATACTTTTTTTTAATTTTCAATTTGGTACCTATGTGTTTTTTGTTCTTAACTAAATCTTTATTTTTCCTCTATTAACATCATTAATCCTTATGTAAAGACTAAAATCAATAGAACAAAGTTATAAGTACTAATGTTGCTAAAAAATAAAATTAAATGTTTAATTAAAGGGAAAAAACACATAGGTACCAAATTAAAATTGAGAGAAGTATAGGTACCTTCAATATGGTTTTCCCTAATTAAAATACGTGCCCCGGCCAAATTGTTAACGTTTTTGCTTGAAGGTCTTATTATTCTCGGCCCCAGTACACATGCTACTTCAAAAAGATAAATTTTACAAGTGCTATAGGCCAACAACTTGATTTCAAGCAAGCTTGGGAATGGGCCGTCGGCTCCTCTTGTTCATTAGCAATAGTTAGCTGGTGTGTGAGCGCGCGTGCGTGCGTGTCTCTATGCATAGCCGGGTGACGGGGGTACAGTGGGGAGCGTGATAGAACATAAACAGAGGAGGAGCTGCGATGTATCGCCTCTCAGATTAATGGAGTATTCGATAGCAATCTACATTTACTTCTACGCCGAGCCACTTAGCTTGTAGTGCTTCAAAATGACAACTCCGATACTATTATATTTTTAGTAGGAAACTTTTAACTGAAAAGAAACATTCAGGCCCCTTTAAAAATGAAACAAGATTAAAGAGTGTTTGAATGGAAACAAAACTGTGATTTTAAAAGTAATTTTATAATTAATAAAGTAAATATATAAATGAGTTTATTTGGATTATGAAAAAAAAATATTTTAAAAAGTACTTATGGAAATATTCAAATACTCTCTAATTTTTTAACTGAACAACCATGCACAATACGGCTATTTAATCCTAAAAAAAATCAAAATAAGTGTGCATTCCTCGTAATTATGATTCCCCACCACCGCTCCCCGCCCCCCCCCCCCAACCACAAAAAAAAAAGGGGAAAAAAAATTGCGGCTGGATGCAGCCCCGTTTAACTGTATGTTCGACGTTTTGGAGGCAACGCATAACTATTTCAGAAAGACAGGCCGAATATTGCTTCAATATGTTGGGCTTTAATCAGCTGCTTAGGGGAAGCCGAAAGGGAGAAGAAATTAAACCAAGTCACGTTATTTCGTATAATTATGAAATTAAGTCACGGTATTGCGCAATGTTCTTTTCTACCTGATAACAGATGTTAAAATATATTGATGACATCTGGTTAACCTGTTGGTTATAGTATCTTATAGAATTATTATGATGATCCTAAACAGTTAATTGCATATTATATAAGACGTGTAATATCCATAATCTTCATCATGAAATTTGACGTTCAGTAATCAACGAACTCCAATCATGGAAGCACGCCGGAGATAAATGGCAGGGGAAGAAAATGTACTATATAGAAGGGTCATCCACTCCTTCGAGTTAACTATGCACTGTAAACACGAGCAAAATCAAAACTGACCTCCAAAAAGGGAACACCCGGATGATTTCAAGTGCTTACATATCGGGGGTATCGCCATCATACAGCCGAAGCCGCTTTAGAAACCTTCCCTTCTGGATTCAGAGTTCCACCACCGCCTTGTGTCCCGTCACTTCCGGCTGCCACCTCTCTGTTTGGAGGCACCAGCCCGCCCCAAGTTGTCGGAGCCGCAATGAAAACCTGCCTTCCAGCGTCCTCGTATAACACCTGTGGGTATCCAGCAGGCTCTGCCACCTCAACCTTTGGCTGTACTATTGCATTAGTTTCACGCCGTTCGCCCCAATTCTGGACTGTGAATGTGAAAGTGAAAGTGAAAGTGATTCTAGTGGTGACCCATTGTAGAACTCACTTGTCTGGACCATTCTCGGGACTCGATAATACGGCTGGCCTACAGCTCCAGTCACGGCTCGCAAAGTAGTAGCAGGGTACATTACGGCTGGGGCTGCAATGAGATACACTGGCTGCTCAGGAACAGTTGTAGAAGCCGGTAACGAATAACTAGCACTTGTCACGAGTCTTTCAGGCGAATAAATTGCCGCTGATCCTGGGATTGATACCGGAGCTGGAACAATGTACACAGGCATCTCCTCTTTCGCGGGATTTTTCTGAGAGTAACGGTCCGTGGTTTTATTAACCGTGCCATTGTCTACTTGATCGCCTTTTTGTAGGATCTGGTCATTCTTTTCCAGATGCAATCTCTGTGACTCCTCGATCTGTATCTGAATCTCAGTTGGTGGTCCCACCAGTTCTCCAACAATGTGCCGATCTTCCGATCCACCATCCGTTCCCGTAGGCGAACCATTTGCCTCCACATGCGGAATGGCAGACCCGGCGGGAGGAACAGAATCGGGCAATTTCGTTGCTGAAACAACTGAATATCTGTAATCCAATCCAGACAGAAAATCAGGATTCGCAGCCGATATAGGTGCCGCCGTTGAAGAGCCCTTAACATGTGGAATGTACACGGAATTGAGAGCATCCACAAACCACTGATGCTCCGGTTTCAAATCGTTCGACTCGAAACTCGTCGGAGCCGACGATTTTGGTGGAAACAGGAACAGCCTCAATCTAGCAGGCTTCAACGACGCACGTTGAGACAGATCATACTCGACCATCATATGCTCTAGATCCTCATCGTTAGTGACCGAAATCAGAGCGTCAAGATCTTCACCGGGAAGTTGGTACTTGACGAAAACATCAGCATTGCAGAGAGAAAAGAGCTTCGTCATCATAGCCGAGAACTTAATGCTGCGATCAACGGTTATGATCTTGGTATCACCACCGACGTAAGCAAGCTGATTATCATGAATCCTAAATTGAATATTCCCGCCATAGCTGCACATGAACTTAACTTTGTGGTTGTTGGTGGTGGTAGAGATGGAAAGAAGATCGTCCATCGATGGATTCTCGTTGTCAAAGTCTTGAGAATGAGGCGAGGAATGGCGGGAATCGGGGTGGGAAGCGAGGGAATGATTTTCCATTGCTAGGGTTTTACGGAATGAATCAGATTTCAGGAATACAGGTCGGGGCTGGGGTTTGAGGAAACTGAACGTAATAAAAGGCCTTGAAGCGGTGTGAGGATATCGGGGATATGATGCTAGGGAGGAAAATTAAAGAAAGTTGTGAAAAAGCGTCCTCCGCCATATTCATGAATCGCGGATACTGTGTATTTATGGACTGAAATTTTGCGTCAATTTGCTTTTACTGAATTTAATTTTTGCATTGGTTATTTCTGTAAGCAGTTATAAACAAGTTAAAAAACACTTAAATAATAACGAAAATCTTTTGAAGTTTTACCAAATTGTAAAATTATTAAAGGTATCTGTATCTCTATCATTAATCCATTATATTTTGGTTTGTTATAAAAAGCACAATTTTCCTAATAGAAATGCAGCATTTATAACACCGTTGCATTAAATATAATTAGGTATAACGAGAATAAAATGGAGCCGATGACATTCTTTGATGAGATCTCTTTCGTCATCGCCAGCCCGGGAATTATTATAGTAATCAAGTAGTATTTGATTTGTCAACCCAAAAAACAAAGTAGTATTTGATTTCTTTCGTCAACCGGATTCATTTGTGCATATATAGATATTTTTGTATGTGCATGCGTATTAGTCCGTGAAGTCTCTGGATGAATAATTAATTATATCATTTAAGCAAAAAAAAAAATTTTGTTTGCAAATAACAGGCTAGAAAAAATCACGGAGATGATAATGTTCTCCTCTGACTTTGGTTGATTTTTCATTTTTCGACAAGAGGGAAGATCCGCGTCTCGGCAAAGCTGAACCTTTTTGTTTGGAAGCCCTTGAATTTGAATGTACGTGGGGAATGGGGTGTGTCTTGGCCTCTTGGGCGTTTGGTGGAAAGCACACGGACACGGGTCAAAACGCGAGTTTGTGATGAAGAAACAGGATTGGAGAGGAGGAGAAAAGCTTCAAACCAAACACGGCAGATCTACCCAGCGCTTTTCCATGAGCAGCTACTGGTAACACGTCCATGCATGCAATAAACTCATCAATATCGAATCCTTTTATTTAACTACTTATCGTTACTAACGGCATCGAGTATCTTGCCTTCGGTGACGGCCTAATTAGCCACGTAAAATTAGTTAATTACTGTAACAGCCTCCAAAACAAACAAAAAAAAGCAGGTTTATTTTTTTTTCTGAAAAAGGTCAATTAACAGTACTATTTAACAAAATCCAGTTTCTAAATATTTGTTTAAGAAAAATATTTTAATTTTATTATTAATTATTAATTAAAAATAAAAATATTTTGAAATGGTCATAGTTCAGAGCAATATTTCAAATAAAGTCATAGATATATTGTTGCTGAATGTTTTATAAAATTATTAAATTCCAAAGATTTAAGATACGATTTTGTCAACGATTTTCACAGTTTGTTCTATTTTTTTCAACGTCAATTTAATTAATTATCAATAATTGAAATTCTAGTCAAAGGTGAAATTATATGAAAAAAATTTAAAAAAATGGACAATTTAAGGGAACACATAGCCATCCAAATTACTTTTAGATGTCTCACATTCAATTTAATTTTTTTTCAAGATGCAGAATCTGAAATAAAGATAATCTCATAACTAACTATTTTTTCAAAAAAAAATTTATCAATCAAAAAATGTAGATATGAAATTTTAAATTTAAATTGTTCAGATTAAATTTTAAATGGTTCATATTTCACCACAGAAAATTCTCATTGTTGTAAGAAACATTAAATAAGAAGCCGAATTTTAACACAGGGATACAAGCATGAATAGTTCAGCTACTTGTAAGTAAAAAACCATGCTGATATTAAATAGTATCACATAAAATCCATCATGCATATTATTTATTTAATATTTATTAATCATCAATGTGTCATTAAATATAAGATCAAATCATATGTTACCTCATATATTTAATTTAATGTTTATTGGAACGTGATTTTTTATATGAATAAACGTCATATTATTTTTTTAAACCATGGATTTTTTGTGTAACATATTGATATTGATGATGATTTAATGCCATTTATAAGACTCATCTTCTGGCTGATGGGTAAAAAAATCAGATCCATAATCCACAAGATCGGCAAGCCCCCTCTGGAAAGACAAAGTGCTATCTGGGCAGGAAAGCCGTTAAGGCCCATCATAAACACGACGTCGTTGCATTTCAACTGTCAACTATCCAGCATAGATTTGGAACCGGAGCTTAGTCCAAGCGAAGCGACGGAGCTTTGCCACCAAAACGTAGTGAATCAGCAATGGTGAAAACCGTTGTCGGAGAAGAGGCTCAACTGAAATTGGCTGAGGATCGTCTCAGCCAATCTGCACTTCCTGCTGAGGTACTCACCGCCTTTTCACATGCACTTCTTTGGTCTGTTAAATGTTTACATCACGTATTCTATTTCAGTTTCCTTCCTTGCCTCTTTCATTTGCAGGTGGGCCTAGCAATAGGTAAGCTGAGTTCTACTTTGGACCGAGGATTTGTGTTGGATTTGATTCCGACACCGCGAAATGATTCTAATGAACCTGCTTGCGCCATCATCGATACCTCCAAGGACGACAAGAGAAAGGGCTCCAAATCTAAATCTCAGGCCACTGATTCTTCCTCACTGTTCATCGATATGGATTGGGTCGCTGAACACGCCCGCCAGGTTCGTTAATATAGTTTGGTTAATTACGAAGTGCGTCAACAATAGCTTACGCTGTGATCTCTTTATTATGTTGCTCGCGTAAGTAATGAGGGTGGGATTTCAGGTGTCTAGAATGCTTGTTGGCGGCATAAAGGTTGTTGGCATATACATTTGGGTTAGTGAGAATGCATTCAAGAATTCAACCGGGGTGCTTTTCCAGGTATCATACATTATTCGTTCGAGTGTAATTTAGTTCGACAGGGAAGTTTCTGAAGAGAGGTATTCGCGGTCATATATGTGGTGTTCTGTAGAATTGTAACGAATACCGATGGAACTTGTATAATAAAAAGGAAAAAGAAAAGAAAAAGAAAAGAAAACTAATATCGATGGAACACATTCCTTTCCTCTCTTTCAGACAGTGAGGGGAGTTGCTGAAGCGGCGTCTAGTTTGGAGACTGACTTCGATGAAAGACTGCTTGTTCACATTTGTTATAGCCCGAGGAGGTAATCCAAACTTTAATAGCTTGTTGTGTCCTAAATGGTATCCTTTAGCTGATCTGCCTTTCTTTTGACATAATTCTCATGGTATTCGAGTGCAGATGGAATTGTCGAAGCTGTTCACTATCTTCAAATATTACATCAAGTAGTTTACCGCCTTGTGATTTTAAAATGGGGAAAGTCTTGAATTCCCTTCAAACGTTTCGGTGTATGTACAACTTCAACCTCAGGTACAATTTTACTTTTGCAATATTTATTCATTCGTTATAATTTTGGTGATTTTTGACTATCTTCTTATCTACTAGTTCATTATGCCATTCGAAGATTGGCCAGGTATGAATGGTAATAATAAGAAATCTAAAGTTTCATCCGGAAAAAAGAAAAGAAAAGAATAGAAAAGAAACCCCAAGTGCGTGAAACACAATAGCAGTGCCTAGTTTGTGCTCTTGATTGAGTGTCAACGTATGCCCGCACTCAAGTTTTGAATTTAAATTTAAGCCTAAATACACCACTATAGATTTACTTTCACCACACTGGATCGGTTTATGACATCTCTTAATCTTTTTGAAATAATTCTAGGATCAAATGATTTTTCACCCGCGTCTTCATTGCTTGGGCTCTCATAACCCCCTTGTCATCACTACCTCTCTCCTCCACTACTCCCCTCCGACCTTCACCAATGTCAGACTTAGTTGCTTCTTTTACCATTACCTTCCCTCTTCTGGAGTAAGGTTTTTGAGCTGGATTAATACTTGGGCCAACTGGCCCATCTGGTACATGACCTGAAAGAGAAACCATATCCTTCATAATTGTAAATAGCATATATAAAATAATGTCCTTTAAGGCTTTGGAAGGTGAACATAATCAACAAACCAAAAAGAAAAGAGAGAGGGGAGCATGAGTATTGAAGCTAAGCGGGCTCAGTGTACTCCGGCCATGACACAGATCTGGTTGCTGTCTCGGCTGGTCGTTTTGTGATCATGCGCTGTCTCTTTACCTGACCTAAAACTCCAGGAACTTATTATCATGACCACTGCTGTCGTTGAGGTGGTTGGTTATTAGTAGTGAGTTCAATTTTTTCAAGAAATTGTAAGTCTGAAGTATGATGTATGTTTTGCTAGATTACCCATATTTCATGAAAATGCCTCAAAGTTTCACACAGTGAGTGATGTCCTTCGTCATGCTATATCTATTCATGCCAAAGAGCTTAAAGGTGCAGAAGCCTTGATTGATGGTAAATTGGTAATTACACAACTCTTCCTCACCCCCCCTCCATTATTCCTAGCTCTTTCAATTGTAATCGTTGTATACTGAGCATCATTTGTATGTAATTTTCCTTTCTGTCAGTGCTCTTTTAATAAGATTTTATTTCTCCCTTTCTTTAAAAATAGGTTGATGATAATAAGCACTGCTCATCTGATGGCGTGCATGAAGTTGAACTGCTTCTACCATTTATGAGCAGTTCACCAGTTGAAGGTAAGTATATCTACAATCATCTGCTAAACTAATCCATTTCTATGTTTCTGGCGCTTTATTAATTTGCATCACTAACATTAATGATTGATATGTTATAAAGCATGCAGCCAAAGAGATGTTCTTGGTATTCTTTACTTAAGTGGCTCAATATGTTCTTTTGCATACCTGAATTCAAAAGAGCCAATTTCACAAGCCATCACTGATGTAAAGGTAATTAATGGCTGCCCATATTTGTTCTATTCATCCTTTTATGATAAAAGAATGGCAATTATCAAAGACAAAATGGCGAGAGAAAAAACAATTGAGGTGGTTTAGACATGTGCATAGAAGGCTACTAGAGGCATCAGTTGAGTTGAGTGGATGGTTTTTGACTATATGAAAAGATCTATAGACCAAGAAAGATACTTAAAAGGAAGTTATAAAATAGGATTTTATGGTGAATGATATATTTGAATAGTTAATTATTTATAAAGCCCAATGGTGTTATATGATCCATCAACCGACATTATGTAGTAGGATAAGGCTTGTTGTTATTGTTAGTTAAAGTTAGTTGATGCTGCATGTTTTTCTTATGAAACTGTAGTATATTACAAACCCTACATTTAATATTATTTGACATATTAATAGTTTTTAGTCTTGTAACATATTTTGGAAGCAACAAAAGGACCTTATAAAACTGCTGACTTACCTATTTTAATGATGAGGCTTTTGAGCAATGGATTGCATAATCTCCTTCAGACTGCACTAACTTGAGTCCCCTGTTTTTGTCCTCTTATATCTTGGATCATGGTTCTTTGCTGCACAGGGAGATATCATTATGAGTCTGCAAAGTAGATTGGATATCATCTGTGACGAGGCAGAGGGTGATTCAGCTTCTAATCTTGATGATAGCAGAGAAGCAAGTGATGAGATATCAACTGAAAAGCCTGTTGCCAAACTAGTTTTGCAATTATTGAGGTCTGTGACTTATAATATTGATATATTTGACCCTTGGATCTATTAGAGTGTTGCTTGATGAGAAAGCTTTGCCAACTATGCATGCATGTTCTCAATGTAATGCTACAAATGATGCCTTTTCAATTCTACAATCAACTACTGTGATGTGTGGTTAGGCTTTGCCAGTTTGCAGTGGCTGGCATGGATCCTCTATCTCGTTTGTTTTTATAAAGTTATTGCATTTTGATGACCTGATAAAATTTGCTTACTGAGTAATGTATTTCAATTGCAGGAAGGTGCATTCCATATTTGTTTTCCATTGCTAACCCATTATATAGATAAACACTACTCCATACATAGTGTGTTGCAATGTCGTTCAATCTTAGGGTTGTTTTAAAGACATGCTCTATGCAAGAAAAATTTTATGCGTTTATTTTGAATACCAATGGAGCGCTAATGACAGTTGATTCTTGGCATCTTGTAGCTGAAACCTTTGTTTACTTGGAATTATTATGTGATTCAGTCATTTATGAAAAGCTTTAACCATATTCAATAAACTGTGCTTCCTGACAGTACATGTTAGACGCTGGCAACCTCGAAGTATTCTTGATTATTCATTAGTTATTACAGAAAAAGGATATATGATGGTTTTAAGTGTGTGCAGATTAGGGTCATGTTAATATATTTTTCCAGTGCTGTACATAGTCGCAGGGTAGGCTAGTCTGCCCACAGGAAAATGATAGTATTGCACTGGTTTCGTTGCTTAGCTGCTGAGTTGGGTTCATTCCTTGGTTTGCACATTTGGCAAGGATACTGTCTCCTTAAAACAAGAGCCAAAAGAAAGGAAAATCCATCTCAGTGAATGAGTTGTTTAGTGCTGTTACATATCAGTTTTAAGACAATCTTAAATTAACTGGTATTTATATTTAAATTATCTTTATCCTGTGACCTGTTTGCGCCATCTGCTGTCAATGTAATGTAGAAGATATCTTTTTTCTTTTTTCGGTTTTCTATTTTCGCCCAAAGTTTCTTCTAAGAAAATTTGTATATGTGATCTTCTGACTTGTGGTTTTCATGCTTCCTAAGGTGCTAAGAGATCATTGTGCAGAGTTATTATCTGCGAAATCTCTGGCTGCTAACTCGACGATTTTGGAGCCAGAAAAAGAAGCCTTAGCCCTCGTAAGTAAATCTTTCTGGAACGTGGCTGTGCCGTTTGGTTTAGCTATTCAACACTTGGAAAAGAAGGGCAGAGTTGAAGACACAGGAGAGCATTCGAGTAAATCTTCAAAGCCAGTTAACATTAATGTTTTGGCTGCTGGTCTTGTCCTTGTCCTTGCAATTATGCTTGGTTTTGCCCTCCTGGTTCTGAATGGCTGACACATCGATAAACATGGAATATCTCTCGATTAATTTCTATACTTGTGATGGGAGAATATGTTTGAAGGATCCAAGCCATAGACATTTTCTCAAGTTAAGAGCCAGTTGATGTTATATTTGTATATATGGTGATCCTTCAAAATGAAAATCTGTGCTGCGGGAAAAATTAAAAACGAAACTAGAATCGACAAAATACAAAAGGGGAGGTCCGTATTTGGATTAAGCAAGTGTTATTTTCAATTTTTTTATATATTTGAATAATTGTCATGTCTGTCGATCGCAGCCAATGTCATTCTGATTCAGAATAGTATTTTAAAATCCTGAGTTTATAAACAACAATAATAAACATAAACGTAAATGAAAGTCATGCATATTCGCCACACATAAAGATTAAGACTATTTTACAGAAAGTTAATCCTGCAGAAAATATGGTCTGCATGCATCCCCGTGATCTTTAAATGTCGGCACCTAGATTTCCAATTTTCTAGGTGGCCCAAAAGAGATTTCCAATTTGCTAAATCCTGTGAAAAAACGACGACATAGTTTCTTCCTATAACTGCAATTAATACATTATGCATCAGAATTAACCTGCACTATGCATGCATCACGTTGTCACTCAGAACAATTACTGGCTCGGTCCATTCCCTGTATTTTTCTCGTCAGCAGTATCACTAGGAAGGCCAAGACCATGAGGAATCTTGCCAGGATAGTTTGTAGTTGACTTATCTGATCCAATCAAACTGCAGAAGTAAAACTCAAAAATGAATTTTGTGCGTTAAAGCATGGATAACTAGGTGTGTTCTAGGTGTAAAATGCTCACCCTCTGTCAACGATAACCAGTGAACGCAGCTCACAATTAGCAAAGCTGCAAAACAAATCGGGAAAGTTTTTATTTAATCCTAAAAGAATGATAACTTAAAAGATGTAGTATTGAAAATATGACACCGGGTAAACAATTCCATCATGTTACAGATTAGGCTTTTCCTCATGTGAAATGATTAATGTTTAACAGCGACGTAAAGAACTTTATAAAATGAACTCTCTTATATTTAAACAAGTCAATTCAATTAAGAAATGCCAAAGTTACAGATATAGATACCAGAGACTTGTCTAAGCACATCTGCTTGAACAAATAATCATATCCGGAAAATATCAGAAAGTGCCAGGTTAAGATTCTTCCCTTTTCTTTTACATTTCCTTTCTTTTCATAAAGCATCGGAATTGTATCTTCAGTGCAAATTAGACACTCAAGGTAAAGCGTATTTATCGAACGCACATGTTGTAACCCGTACAATCAAGTTTAGCGATTATTTCCAAAGGAATGCTTACTGTGTGCATATTTCACTCTTCACAGTCGGACGGCAGTCATTTCCGAAAGCGCTTAGGGCCTGCAATAGAAAAGCACTGTGACAAACAATCGCTATCTCCTTCTCTTTACGTGTCCATAACCTGTACCAAATAAGGAAATCAGGGGGAGCAAAAAGGCCAGACCCTTGGTTTATGGCCATTCCCGGCCTTTGATGGGTAACACGCACATAATTTACTCGAATATTGGAGATGAAAAGATGAAAAATGCGAGATCTATCCAAACCGTGGATTTTCCAGGATTGTACTTAAGCGTGAATTGCAGAAATATAGGACCGCTATAATCATAACAATACGGTGAAGCCTCTTTGGTTCCATGCTATGGCTTAATGAAGATTTTCATGTTCTTAACTATGCATGAATAGACAAGAAACGCGAATTGGACTATGAAAGCATTCGCTCACCATTTCAAAAACTTCAGCCCCCTACCAGCAACTTGTTCATCCTTCTCTCTAATGCCAGGTGTCCACAAAATGTCCTCGTCACTTTCTATCTAAAATGAATTTAAATGAGGTATGAATACATCCAACAAAATTTGGATTACCTACTACCAATTTAAGCATCAGAAAAAACGTAGTTATAGTAGCTCTCGTTCACATCATGAGAAATCAATCAAGATACATCACGTACCAGCGAAAAGTCAATTGCAGGGAACATATCCCGGTACTCATGAATGCTTCTTCTCTTATCACAAGGATTAAGTCCCTGAGTTACAAAAGTAAAGTACGACACAAATGTAAAGGATGTTTAACCCAAATGATATTCCAAACAGCGGATTATGAATAAATTTATACGGTAAACTTTTATCTTCTTTCTCTCCATCATAGTTATTAGTTGGCAAATGAGCTGAAGTTAACAGGAAACCGCATGATCAGTGAGGCAGTCAGCCCCGGAATATGAGAACTAGAGATGAGAAGTCAATTTCATGCAGGACCAAACAGTACCTGGGCCAAAGTTGGCACTAGCATGCATGAGCTCATATTACTCTCCTTAAGAAGCCGAGAATTCTAGATGAGCAGGTAGAAGATATACAACTTATGGATTAAATTTAGGTAGTTCATCTAGTATATTTCCCAATCACTAATGCAGTTTTCTCCTGAATTTTTCCAGAAGCAAAAAGAAGCAAAGCAGACAGATAGGAACAAAAAGAATCCATGAAAGCAAAGAAAAGGTCGGTGCTAATTACTAGTAGTTAACTAAATATACAGAGCCACACAATTTTCATCAAGCCGAATTTAGATTACCAATATTACATACCAAACGCTCCCGGCAAAGCTCAATCGCTATAAATGGAGGGGAATTCAGACTAGAAATTGCAGCGTGTTCACTATGTCCCACATTTTCCTTCATCAGAGGAGGTGCATCAATCCCATCAGTGTGTGCTTCACCACCAAAGACTCCAGCTGCTGTTTGCATGGTCCTGAAATGCAGTAATTACCAAGTCAGCTTACAAGGTCTTCCAGCTATGGAAGACGTCTTGTTTATTCACTGATGCGCAAAACTTTTATAAACACACGTCTGCGCAATACCAGCACAAGACAGCAGAGTACTCATAATGGTTATCATTTATCAACTGCTCAAAGGACAAATCCCCACCAAGACTCTTATAAATAACCTTCAAGTTAATTATTATGGTGCATGACAGAATGAGTTGTTCACAAAAATATCATTTCCAGATTTTCTTCCTCTTTCAAGAAAGAAAAAGGAATCAGAAAACACCACTCACGCATAGTAAACAGATGTTCAGAACTAAAAAGTAATTGGAAGATCTCATATTGATAGATATCGGACAAATACTAGATATATACATACATATGCCAGATCAATAGACAAAATTAAAGGTATCAGACTTTTCACTCCTTTCCTCAGTTTTCTTCTAGAGTCCCTACCAAACAAAAAGAGAATGAGAAAATTCTCTCCAGTAAACATGAGAAGCTCTCTTTCTAAGAAAGTCACTTTCCCATCCATCAAACATAACTAAAAACACTATCCTTAACATTTTCCCTTTTCCCAAATCTTTTTTTCAAACTTAATTCCAATCTCATATTTCTGTGATCTTATGGTTATCTGTTGCAGTCTATCTTCCATGGTTCCTAATTACCGGTATATCCACTCAGATCAATTTTAGGCTTTTATGGTGAATGACACCAATATTCCATTTTTCCAACTAACATTGCTGAAGAGTATCATTATAAAAATAAAGGCAGTGGTTACAGTAATAAAGCACCAGATCTCTACAAAGTGAGCACTATACAATTCGTAACAGGATTACCAATTAATAAAGTCATACCTTAACAAGGGGGAAGAAATCACTAATTCAATTTTCTTGGAAAGACCACATGCTTGAACATGCGCCCGCAGATGATCAACCTGTTATAATGCGCATATAACAAATATTTGACTAGGAATGTCTCAGCAAAAGAACAAACTGAAATTTTATTCTAAGACACATCCTGGTCGACATTTCCCTCCTGAAAATAAAGTTATGGCAACATATGGCTATGATACCTATTTTCTACTGAAAGCATGAAACGACTTTCTTCTTTATAGTCGAAAACACATCCTTAAGAAATTCCATACAACACAAAATCACAGCTGAAATGCTTTGCTTAATAAGATAACAATAAAATGTTCTAACTCAAGATCACCTGCTTCCAGCCAAGAGGGCTTAGTTGTGCATCAAAATAGTCACAAGACTTGTATGCTTCATGGTTTTTTTCTCCTGCTACGTTGTGAACCCCTTGTGCATGTCTAACCTGTATAGTAGATTAAATGAGACATTACTGGTCTTAAAAAAATGGTGGCACTAAGAAACAAAACATTTTTTTTATAAAAAATTTCCAAACACAGGCATCAGCTATGGAACTCTGTATCTGTACTATAGATAGCCAATATGACAACAACCAATTTCAAATTTTAAAGTTAATGGAATTTTGTCTCTATCAAACTACGTTAATGCAATTCCAAATTTGATGAAAGAAGTATATTTAGCTTGAAGTACCATCTTATATTTCGTTCGAAAGGCCATCTCATATTTTCAGTCAAAATTATATTTTACCACATTGATGTTTGAACGTGATATTATATCAATGCTTTAAAGAAAGGAATAGTAAGCTTCAACATAGAAGTTCTGTAGCTAGAATTAGTCGTCGCAGAAAATCACAGGTCAATGAAGGTTCTGGTTTTCAAACCATATGTTCCGAATAGGATCATAAGCAACGGCCCAGGAAACAAAAATTCAAACATAGAGGTGGCCACGAACCAGGTGAAGAGTTTTACAACGGTGCAATGGATAGATACTTAGGCCTTCGTTGGTATCCATATCTGCAGTGACATCAAATGACATCCAATAGTCAAGGGTTACTATATAAATAATGTCAAAGCAAAACTTCACATCAACGTCAATATACCTTAAACGTTAGGATGTGTTTGGATGAAACCAAACCATAGTTTGGAGAATAGATTTTGGGGAGAATAATTTTGTGAAGAATAGATTTTGTCAAAAAGTGATTCTGAAAAGTGAGAGTGTTTGGATAGTTGTTATCAGAAGTGCTTTTTATATATACAAATTACTAAAAAAGACATAAGTTAATATGATAATTACATAAAAGATAGATTTTATGATATATTTTAATTTGAAGGAATAAAATTGTTAATAATATATTTTTTACCAACATAATTAATAATACATAAGATAATATAATTAATGAATAATTAATATGTATATATATATTTACAAGATATAAGATTAATATGTTTATAAAAAATTAATTGAGGGATGTTAAAGTCATATTATTATTGAGATCTACTCTGATAGGTACAATCATACTCTCCAATTTGAGCCAGAAGCAGAATGGATTCA